AGCTACAACGTGATGTTTTGCGTGCGACCTACATCTTACTCATGATCAACCTGGTGAATATCACAAAAGCTCTGGGTTCAACTGCTTTTGGTCATCTTTTGTCCAAGCTATGCATGTGGAACTGTTGGGACTGCGCATGCCCTCACCCCAACCCCGCATTAGTATGATATTGTCCGCTCTGGGCCAAGCCCTCACGGATTTGTTTTTGGGCACCTCCCAAAAGGCCTCATACTAATGGGGTTGGGTGAACCTATATATTTTGGTTCATTTACTCCTACTCATCCGGTGTGGGACTTGGAGGAATCCCAACAAACCTCCCCTCAACCAAGGACCACACAATTTCTGACCTCCCCTCCAGCGGTAATCCATTTTTCCTTTTTACCTGCTAACCATCTTGCACCGCCGCACACTCTTTGCGGGACGCGCCGCCCGACCTCTTGTCGGGAAGACTTTCGACACAAGGCTCGAACCGCAGATCTTTTCCTTCGCTGGGCCACACCATTTGATCCGCCAAATCATCTTGTACCGCCGTGGCTATAACGTCACGGGACACGCCGCCCGACCTCACCTCGTCGGGAAGACTTTCGACACAAGGCACCACCTGCAGATCCTCTTTCTTGGTCTTGGTCCTATTGTCACACCGTTACACCGAGATTTTTCCACACTACACAGTCCGCCTCACGCCCGCAAGAACATGGGCTCCGATACCACATGTTGGGACTGTGCGTGCCCTTCCCCCAACCCCGCATTAGTATGTATTGTCCGCTCTGGGCCAAGCCCTCACGGATTTGTTTTTGGGCACTTCCCAAAAGGCCTTATACTAATGGGGTTGGGTGAACCTATATATTTTGGTTCATTTACTCCTACTCATCCGGTGTGGGACTTGGAGGAATCCCAACAGGAACCTCCATGTTCCAGCTTGAGGGGCCGTTGGCGTGAGATAGAAGAAGGAAACCGAAGCCCTTTGAAATTCGGTTTAGTATATTTCCTTATTCTCCTTTTCTTGTTTTAATATGAATATAGTTATAGTAGGACTTGCTTTCTACCTCTTCCTATAAAAAAGAGGTTAGATCTTTGTAATCAAAAGACAACTCAATAGAGAAATATTTTCTCATTATTATTTTCTACATATAATTTTAAAAATATTTTAATTATTGGATGACATGAGAAATATTGGCATAAGTCCATGTCAAATTATAATAGATTTTTTAATATCTACACAAACTATATCTTCTTTTTTACCTTTTTTTATTTTAACCATTTGTTAGATTACAAATTAGCAATCCTCTCTGTTAGACAAGGCGTGCAACTCTAGAAGGGGGTGAATAGAGTTGTTGAGAATGTTTACCGATTTTCGCAGGATTAATAATATAAACGTAAGTGCAGCGGAAATAAAATAGAGAAGGGAAAGAACACACCGATGTATACTGGTTCACCACCTCGTGGCTAGTCCAGTTCCCCGAGAGACTCTCTCGAAGCTACCACTACTTCCGTTAAGCTTACGGGTGCTTAACAAACCGTTTAAAACTCGAGAACTTGAATCTCACAAGCCTCGACACAACCGCTCGTAGATATGCCCTCTACAAGACTTCACAACCAAGACTTAAATCACATAAGCCTTGAACAACAAGAAGAACAATCTTCTTCAACCTCTCAACAATAGCTCTCAAAAGAGTAGATAAGAGAAAAGATTAAAGCTCTAATGGATGACAAGAAACCTCTCTTAAAAACAAATATTTTCTCTCAAAATAATATAAATTTGAGGAAGGATTGATGGAGGATTAACACCTCAAGAATG